AAACACAGAGTTCTTATCAGTGATGTTACCTGTAAAAGTGTGATGTCACAGAGTTACACATGAGGGCATGACTGAGAAAATGTGGCCCAGCTGAGGAATAAAGGCAAAGCAGCTGAAAGGCTCAGAGGTAAAGAATGCAAGCCAAAAGAATTTTAGGGGTCAATCCCTACTAATTGTAAAAATATAACTTCTCTGATTTTAACCAATTCACAATAAAAAAAATCTTCTTAATAAATTAGTTCAAAAATATACAAATGCTAATTATACAAATTTAAATGTTACTCAATTAACTGATAACTCACCTTACCATAAACCTACCTCAATCTATTTTAACAAACATTAAAAATACTACAAAAAAGCCCTTATTTTCACTTAAACCAACTAACACACATTTAAATTCTTATCCACTAATCAAACAAAATAAAACTAAATCCTATAATTCTTTTTTAAATAAACTAACTCAAACAATCAAAAAACAATATCCACATAAACAAACCCACTCTTATATTATTCAAAACCTTACCTATGTAAATACTAATAATAAATGTAAAAAAATTATTCTAACTTTACCTAATCAACCTCCAACAATTACCCAAATATTAACAACTTACAAATTCATAAAATCCTACAAATTCACAAGTCAATAGTTTAAAAAAAAAAATTAAAAACAATTTAACACAACAAATAAATAAAATTCTATCACCTTTTGTAGTTTTCTTAATTTTTTTCTTAACAGGGCTACAGCTGGCAACAAAGGAAATAAAAGTTTCATTGCTCTAATGTTGTATTTACACTGATGAGAAATTTTTTGAAGAAACTTTAGGCTGAACAGAATGTACACATGTCCAAAATAGCTTGAAAAACACTTTTATTGTTTAGTATCAATGGTCTTTCTAGAAAGGGCAGATTTTTCTGGAATCTGCATTGAGTTTCATTTGGTAATCAGAGACACACAAGACAATAAAGCCTTGATAAAAGCAACTCCAGAAGCCAGGCTTAAGTCACTTGATACACCAAGAAAACACAATATTCTACAGCCAAAACCTCTGAATTTTCATTTTGGGAAATAAAGACATTCCTATTGGAAAAATAAACCCTTATCAGCATCTCAGCCTTTGCTTCTCCTTGATATTAGCATAAACAGGCCTTGTGATAAACACCTTCAGCCTTCAAATCCCCAAAAAACACTGAGCCAAAACATTCTGTTGAATCAGAGTCTTTATTTTTCCTTGACTGTTCAGACAGCCAATGCTGCTGCATTTTTTAGGATTTTTTCCTTTTTAAAAGCCTAGGATATGCAAATCCTGCCCTGTGACCTTGGAGCTGAGGAAAGGCCATATTTAGCCTGTGTGCATGTGAGTCAAACCCGTTATTCATGCACAGGATTATTCAAGGGCTCTGATGCTTGAATCACTGTGGGTCAGAAAAGTTTTCCTTCCTAGGTGAGCCTCCCTTAAATCTTTCATCAGCTGCATTTATTCTTCCTAAATTATTCAGCTCCTTGGGAGTTTTGGGTTCCACAGAAAAGCTCAGAGCTGGGAATCCTCCCACAGGGAATGGACAGTTTGTGCAGGCAGCTGTCACTGCAGGAGCTGCAACATTCAACTTGTGAAAAAGCTTTTTGTTGAGCCAAATGTTCAAGCACAGTAACAAAAAAACCAAAAAAAAAAAAAAAGTTCCAAGTTAAAACACTTTGCATTACTGCAGTGACTCCCGAGTTTTATGTGAATAATTTTTATGTGAATAATTTAGGATTAAAGATTGAGGAAGTGGCTTCAGATGCATCATCCTGAAAAGCACAATGTTATTGCACTTCAGATGTAGGGCAGGCAGAAAACCCCATAGCAGTGCAAAGACAAAAACACCCCAAGCTGAACTGTTTTCTAAAAAAAGCCACAAATATTGGAGCTAATTGAAATATGCATTAAATGCTCCCCAAACTGCCTCCCCTACATTAAATGGGTTTGTTCCTGACAAGATCCTGAGTTAAAACCACCCAGGGCTCACTAAAACTCGCTGGGTGTGACAGCTACATCATAAACCGGAATGCGAGCTCACCCCACGCTGTTACTTTAGGGCAAGTTCTTCAGCCCTGGATTGCAGCTAACAGGCCTGGAAATCAAAGAGCTCCTAATTACCCATGACAAACTTATTTGCAAACAGCTTGGCAGACGCACCGATACCGATCCACCTCTAGGAGCACCGTGGGAGGATGTGATGACATCTTTGAAAGGGTAATTGCATCTGCCAGGAGCTTGAGATCATCTGCAGCCCTTTGCTCCATTGCCACCCTTTTCCAGAAGGTGAAATCAAAGAATGCTCAGCTCGTTTGCATCCAAAGCGCTTCTCGCTTTTCAGAAACGCGAATTGCAAATAAAGCTGGGCGAAAAAATTACCAAAATGCTTACAGAGTAACAGAAAACAAAGCTAAAATGAGAGTGGGAATTCATCTTCCAGCAGGATCACACATACCTGCATCAGACCGATGCCCTGAATTGTCATGAGTCAGGAGAGCAGTCTGATACTTTTAGTCTAGAAACATGTAACAAAGGATGTTCCGAGCTTGCAAAAGTTTTTACTTCCCAGAGATTGCAAAACTGAGCTTGCCAAAAACACAGAGCACTATCGACATGCACACAGCAAGAGGCACGATTCAAGTGGGCAATGACATTCATCAGGATAAAGCACGATCTCAGCACAGCAGCAGCACCAGCTGTCAAGAGCCGCTCGAAAATAACACAAAGAAACCAAAGAACCCTGAGAGCTTTAACGAATTTTTGTAAGATCGTGAGATATGTGTCTGAAAGATCACAGGCTGTTCATACCGAGAGTCAGAGACTGAAAAATCACAAGCAAGGGACGGAAAAAAACCAGGAGCTGGAAGCAACACCGTGCCCTGCTCAGCGGGCAGGCTCTGCCCGAGAAACGGGAGGCACAGCCGGGGTCGGACACTTCCCTTTCCCTGGGCACCGCTGACACATTATCAGCATCTGCCCGTGTCCGGTACAGCCCCGGAGCCCGGCACAGCCCCCATGAACCGGGTACAGACCCCCGAACCCGGCACAGCCCCCGGAGCCCGGCACAGCCCCCGAGCCCGGCACAGCCCCCCGAGCCCGGCACAGCCCCCCGAGCCCGGCACAGCCCCCGAGCTGGGCACAGCCCCCGAGCCCGGCACAGACCCCGGAGCCCCGGCACGGCCCCCCGAACCGGGTACAGCACCCCGGAGCCGGGCACAGACCCGATGAACCGGGTACAGACCCCCGGAGCCCGGCACAGCACCCAGAGCCCGGCACAGACCCCATGAACCGGGTACAGCCCCCCGGAGCCCCGGCACTGCCCCTCAGCCGGGCACAGCACACCCAAGCCGGGCACAGCCCCCCAGAGCCCCGGCACAGACCCCATGAAACGGGTACAGACCCCTGGAGCCCGGCACAGCACCCAGAGCCGGGCACAGCCTCCCGAACCGGGTACAGACCCCGGAGCCGGGCACAGACCCCGGCCCCGAGCACACCCGAGCTCCTCAGGGAGTCCCGGGGAACCGTTCCGGCCCCAAGCTCCTCAGGGCGGCTGCCCCGGGCTGGAAGTGCCCCCCGGGCTAGAAGTGACCCCCAGACAACCTCTCCGAGCCGACCCTCCCGCGCTCCCTCACATCAGCCCCAAGGCACCGACCCTCACAGATCCCCTCAGAGCCGACCCCCACACGCCCCCTCAGAGCTGCCCCGGCCGCCCACAGCGCTCGGTGCGAGATCGGTCGCTGCGAGGCAGGGCCACCACAGCGCTGGGTAGCCCGTAGCGAAGGAGCGGGAGGTTTGCGGAGCAGGGGAAGAGGAGCGCGGGGCCCGTTACCTGCGCCGGTGTCGAAGCGCGGCCGCCCGGCCCGGCCCCGCCGCCGCCACAGGCCCCGCGCGCGCCACTTCCGGGTGTGGGGGGGCCGGGGCGCGCCCATTCAGCGCCGCTCTCGCCCCACGCATGCGCATGGGCAGCACAGCCTGAAGGGAGTGGGAAGGGAGATGATGCGGGAGACTCGGGTTCAAGCCCCGAGCCCGCTCTTCGCCCCCGCTGCGGGTGGGCGGTGGCAGCAGCAGCCAAGTGCTGTCTGTCTATCTGTGTCTGTTTGAGGCAGTGGGGGTGGATTCTTGTCAAAACTGAAGAACCCTAGAGTCCTGCTGGGCGGAGAGCGTCCCCGCCTGGCGCTGCGGTTGTGGTGGGGTGGCTGGTGCTCGGTGTGTCAGAGCCCTGGGGCACAGTGGTTCACAGAATCACAGAATTGTTTAGGTTGGAAAGGACCTTCGGAGATCACCCAGTCCTGTCTCCACCTGAAGCAGATGACACAGGAACGCCTCTCTCCAGAAAGGGAAACTCCACATCCTCCCTGAGCAGCTGTTCCAGTCCTCGGCCACCCTCAATGAAAAGAAGAACTTCCTAATGTTGAAGTTTGACTTGTGTTTTGGTTTGCACCCATTACTCCTCGTCCTGTCACTGGGCATCACTGAGCAGTGGCACCGTCCCCTGTACACCTCTTAGAGCAGTATATTTATATATATTATATAGGATTGATGGGATCCTTTCAGCCCTGTCTTCTCTGGGCTAAGCAGGCCCAGCTCCCACAGTCTCTCCTCACCACAGAGACGCTCCAGACTCATCATCTCTGTGGCCTCCATTGGATTCTCTCCAGCAGCCCCTTATCTTTCTTGTACTGAGGATCCCAGAACAGACTCCACCAGCTAAAGCTACCTCCCACCAAAAGCCTGAGGCAAGGAGCTCTTTTAGGGCCAGCCGTGCTGCAGGAGTAGCCAGACCCTCCTTTATCGCTTTATTTAAAAGCAGCGCAGCCCCCGGGAGGGTTTCATTCCTCCGCTCCGCCAGGGGGCGCTCTGCCATCCCCTCACCGCTCCCTCCTCGACACGCCCATGCGCGGTGATTCAAAAGCGATGGCGGCTGCGGCTGCTGAGGGGGAGTGATTCTCGCCCGGTTCTTCGTCTGCTCTCCGCTGCCTCGGCGCGATGTCCTCGGAGGTCAGCGGCATGGCGGCGGCCGGACAAACACCTAAAGCTAAGCGGAAAGGTAGCGTGGGGTGAGGGCGGATCCGCACTGGCTGAGGCGGGAGCTCGGCCCGGCTGTGGGGGGACCCGACCTGATGCGGGGACGCCCCGCGGTGGGCCCGGCTGAGCTCTCTTTGCTCTCTTTCAGGAGGAAGAGTGGTTCAGTCTCGCTACCTGCAGTACGATAAGAAACAAAGCAAGACGGTGCCGGAACAGCCAAGCTCAGGCGTCGCTCAGCGAAAGGCAGCAAAGGTGTGTGGGGCTGCTTGGACCTGTGGCAGTGAGGAGAAAAAAAAACAAACAAAACCACCTCAGTCAACCGAAAAAAACAAAACAAAACGGTGGGGAAACCACCTCTGCTGGGGTTATGCGGGAGTTGTGGAGTGCTGCTAGGTGGGAGCTTGGGACTGTACTCAGCTGACTTGCAAAGCAGCAAGGTGACCTGGGATTTAGTTTTTTATTGTCAGCATTTAAGTTGAAGGTGAGATACTGCTGATTATGTTCTGTCTTATCTGTTTTCTTTATTTTCAGGATGCTTCCTCAGGTTACTCCTCATCAAATAGTTCACTGCTGTCTTCTAGAGCTGAAGCAAGTGCGGCTGTCTCTCAGAAAAATAAAGCTTCTGCTAGTAAGTTTTACCAGTGTTTAAAAGTTATTATTTTGTATTTCTAGCCTATGAAACTGTTAACTCTGGGGTAGTGATATTTTGTGTTATTTGCATTACTGGCAGTTATTATTTGTATGCATAGGAAATTAAGAAACTTCATGTGGGACTAAGACAAATCAGGTCCTGCCTCTGGAATTGAGTGACTTGGTCTTTCCTGCATTCTGCAGAATGGTTCTTTTCCTCTGCCCTCACAGTTACTCTGCTTTTTTTATTTGATCTTTCTGTTAAGCCAAATGTGAATGACAGAAAATCTGTCAGCAAACCCATCCATTTTTATTTCTTTTGTTATTACCAATGTTTCCTGTCTGGTATTACTGATAGTCCTTGGTTGTCTCCACAGATACCCAGTTATTGAGACAAATTATTCCCTTGTTTTCTGGGAATTGGGACCTCAAAGGGTCTCACTTTATGGGGGATTCTCACTTTTTAGAGAGTGAGCTGGAGCCATAATAATTTTCCATTTTGGCTGCAATTCCAGTTGGTAACTTTCTCAGGAGGTTCAAGAAAAATAAGTTTTTAAGGCTGTTCATTAGAAAACAGGTGCTCATTAGACATTGCTGGAAAGTGTTTCTGATGAGCTCAGGAGGAACCTTGCCTAGGTGGAATTGTGGTTTGTGCTGAGCCTTATTCTTCTAGTTCTGATTCTCCTAGTCTGATAACAGCTTCTCTCTACAGGTGTGAACCTCAACTCATTGAATCAGGCTGGTCTTGAGAAGGGTAACTTGCAGTCCACTTTATTAGATGAAGAGAAAATAAAGCTACCAGACCTCGATATTTCTGCTATTAATGGTAAATTTCCATTCATACACCATTTTTGGGTGGCTTTTTTTTTTATTTTTAATGTGTGTGCTGAAACTTGGAGATAAGAAATTATTGTATTCTTGTATATTCACAAAAGGATTTTAAGTAGAGGTACCAATACTTTTGGAGTTTAAAATAACCTCTTAATTGATATCTTTTGGTGCTCTGTTTTTATTTAAAGTCTAAAAGTAAAGAATAAAGTCAAAGATTAAAGAATAAAGTACTCTTGAGTCTTTGTTCCTATAACAGGTGGGTGTCAGCCCTTCTGAAAAGTGGATCACATTTGTTTGTCACTTAAAGCTAAATGATCCATATCTGCCCATGAATATATCAGAGTGAGAAACAGAGCACAGATCTTTCTTACTGGTGCACACAATAATTTTAAAATGATCTCTGCCTTTAAAGAACCTGGTGGTCTCTTGACTCACCCTACAGACCTCTCAGAAAAGCAGCACACTAACTTTGTTGTTGTGATTCAGATAAAAGCGACCTCAAGAAGAGTTCTTCTTCAGAATCTATTTCAAAAGAGAATTCAAAGACAAAGAAAAGAACTAGAAAGACTCGTGAGGTGAGTCTCACTGCTTCCATTGGTAAGGATATTTATTTTGAAATGAAGGTTTTCTGTTTAGCTTTAATCTGAATTACAGCTGAGGCCCTGGGAGGACCCAAAGCCTCCTTGCAGAAGTCAGAGCTGGCAGTGTTCGCTGTGTTGATCAGACACCTGGGCACTGACCAGAGCTTTCCTTCCATTACTTGTGATAAAAAATCTGTTCCAGTTATTGCATCTCCTCAGGTGGATTCTTCTTGCATTCCTGCCCATAATATTTAATTATATCACGTTATCTTTAAGTATTTTGTGGCATTTTTGTTCTGAGAACAGACACTGACTCAATCTAATAAAAAGGGCCTTATTTGTGGATCTCATTCAGTGTAAAACTGGAGCTTCAAAATCTACCAGAATAATGAAAATGTGCTGAAAATATTATTAAAGGTGGTGGAACAAAGAGATGTGTTTAATTAACATGAGTATTAAAAAAATAAAGTTTTATCATTGAACTGCCTGATTCCAGGCATGAATTGGACTATCAGTAATTAATTTGGTAATTAATTTCACCCCTGATAAAACAATTATTTCAATACCTAACTTGATGTAAAATATTCTTTTCTTTTCTGAAGGCAACTACTTCTTCTGATCCACTGGAAGTGCTGGAATCTGAGGCACTAATTTTAACTTTCCTAAGATTAAGGGTGAGAGCTGCTCAAATATTTGGTGTTTCACGTAGAACTTGATATGGGGAAATTGTTCAATTTCTTAAATACTTCCTGACCTATAAAAGTTAGGTTTTTGGGACTGTATATTTTTATCATTTTTTAAAACCATAAGACTTGCTATGATTCAATACCAGTTTATTAAGCTAATGCTGGTTCTTGGGAATTAGGGGGAGGCAGAAATTTTGGGGAAAAATGTGATTCTGTCTGGAGTTAAAGGTTGTGGCAGTGACTCTGTTCCCTCAGTGCTCTGTGTATTTTCCTTTAAATAGGAGTGAAGAAAGAGTCTTAAGAGGATCTTTAATTCTGATTTTCTCTGCTTACTGTGTGAGGTCTCCTCTTCATTAATTGAAACTCTTTGATCTAATCTGAGGCTTGCATTTCTTTGTTCAGAATATGCTAATTGCTCAGATGTAGCATTGCTTCAATTGTGAATATTTTTGGGATGTAATAGACAGAAAAAAGGGTTGCCAAGATGGAGGAGAAAGCAGAAGAATACTTGTTAATGTTGTGTGAAGAAAAGCGGAGACAGCAGGAGAAGCTTTTGGAGCTGAAACGTGAAATTCTGCTCGAGGAGAGAAAGCAGAAGCTCAATGAAGCATTAGACAAACAGGTAAGTTTTAAAAATGTTTCTCTGTAGTTACAGAAACTCATTTATGATGTAGTCCTTTATCCAGGGGAGATTGCTCTGTTTCTGTGGCCTGCAGGGGTAAAATTTCATACATCTTAAAGGAAATAAATATCTCCTTCCTGCTGAGGCCTGCAGCACTTTTGGCACTGTTGAGTTCCCTGGTGGACAGGGAGGAAGGAGAAGCTGGAGCTCCTGGGCAAGGGCAGAGATTGCAGAGATTCTGGTTTTTATTTGCTTTGTTTGTATGTGGTAGCCACAAGTAGTTCTGGCCTAATTGTGAGAAGACAGGTTTCTAATGAATAATTAATGTTTGAATAATGAATTTTCAAAACTGACTCTTTGCTTTTTAATAAATACTCATTGAAAAAATCAAACAAGGCTTTTGGACAACACACTTGTTAATTACAAGGATCAAATTTATATCAAAGGATCTGATATAAAACCCTTTGCTGTGCTGCCAATCTCTGAGCTACAGAAACAAGGGAGTGGTACTGAGGACAGAGAGGGAAACACAATCAACAGTTTGATAGAATTATTGTACCACAGACTTCTTGAATTCCTGTGTCAATAAGCATTTCAGAGTGGTGTTTGGTTTGATCATAAAGTTTTTTTTTTGTAGTGAGCCAGGTGTGTAATGACAGATGTTTTTGGAGAGGTGTTGATCAATGTTTCTCTTTCAGATAGAAGTGCTGTCTCCCCTGGTTGCTGTGTGTGAGCAGTTCAAAGAGCAATACAAAAGCTTTGCAGCTGGCCTGGATGCCACAAGACACAAATTACCCATAAAGAACATTCACATAGAAGGAGATAAGCAAACCTACCTTGGTATGAAAATTTGATTTATCAAATTTGCTTTCAGTTTTAGTGGGTTTATGCTTAAAAAAAATTCTCACATTGTTACTGCTGCATCTGCCACTGGAGGAACTGTGTGTGCTCTGAGAGTTTGTGTGGATACAAATTCACATGTTGTGCTGTGTGGAATTCTTACCTCTGTTTAACCACTTAACTACACAGCTTTTTATCTTGCAGCAGAGAATTTTATTAAAAAAACTTTTAAAGTTAGCTCAGTCTTCATATACACCTTCTTTAGCAAGTTTCTATGTATTTTAACTATTCAAGGTATTCCTCCCCCTTTCTTTTTCCTACTGTGTAAATAACTTACAGGAATGCTCTGATCTTTCTTTTTTCTGTGTTTGAGGGACAGATTCACCTGGGCAGACTTGCTCAAACTTCTGTTTCTTGTAGAACTGGAGCTTAAATATTATCATGTGCTGTCTTGAATCAGAGAATATTTAATAAACCAGTACATGCATTTTGTATTGAAGTCTGGACAAAAAGTTACATTTTTGAACTGCTGGTCTGCAACAAACAAGATTCTTAAATCATTTACAGTAAACTTGCACTTTAAGGCACATGAAAAACATTTCTTGAAGAACTTAGAATTCTTGTGAGAAGACTAGAAAGGAATAGGTGCATTTTTTGTTTGTGAATGTTAGGAAATAGCTGAGTAGATTTCATGGAGGGGATACATGCCAACAGCAATACTGGCCAGGGAACTTTGGGTGTCTAAAACTTGTTTTTCCTCTTACATTTCTCTTAAAAACCTTTGATATACTCTAAATGAGAGCTTGATGAGCAATTTTAATAGCCTGTTGCTGCTGCTAGTCACAAAGTGAAAAATAATTTGGCTTTCACAGTTTCATGGTGGTTTTGTGAAAGCTGAATATTTTTTTGTCATCTTTTCACCTGTCTCTGGGTTACTGCAGCTGTTAATATCTTGTATTAACTGGTTCATTTTTAGTAATACCTTTAACTTCTCATCTTCCAGAGGAACTGGAAAAGCAATTAAGGATCACACAGGAGCTTCTGACAGAAGTTATGCCAGAGCACTCAGAGGATGGTGGAAAAGCACTTGGTGCACTGAAAGAGCTTCAAGAAGTGTCTCAACAACTGAGTACAGGGCTTCAAAGGTATCACAGCAACTGGGGGGAAAGATTTGTTGACTAAATATCTGGAGGAAAATCTTTATCCCTTGCCAGAATATATTCAGAACTCAGGCTGGAGGAGGGTTATCTGAGGTAGCACTAGGTGTAATTCTCTTTGTAGCAATCAGATTTTTGTCCCTGCCCTGCCTGCAGTCACAGGAGGGTGTTTGGGGCTGGATTTGTACCCAGGTGAGCCGCCTCAGTGTGCCATTCTCTGCCACTTCAGCTGGGAATTTCACTGAGCAAGAACAGACTTGGCAAGTTTAGGTGTGTAGGAGTGGAGAAACCCAGGAGACAGAAAAGTGAGCTGCAAACTGTCTTAAATAACAACCCTGCAAATGTGTCATCCTTGTGAGGGCACAAGGAGAACAGAGAAGGGTTTTCTCCTCAACTGTTTTAACAACAAATACAAAGCATCCCTGGGAGGGTGAGGAAGAGATAAAACATGACTGATGTTCTTCCCCTTCCTTTTTGCCCCAGAAGAGATTGGAGTTAAAATCTTTGAGGATTAATAGACCATTAAGCCACTCAATTGCCCCATCTCTCCTCCTAGTTCCTACTTTTGAGAAGAAAATTGACATTTTACATTTATTTTCTTCTTGTGGGGCCATAGTAGGAGAAGGATGGACATGTCCAGGCATGCAGTCTTTGGGCTAAAGCAGAATTTTTGTCCTTCAGAGTCACTGATTTAGCTTCATGTGTTGCAGGAGCTTCACAGATGTGCAGAACCTGTCCTTTGAAGCCAGGAAAGAAGTTTCTCTGCATAACCAGTACTTGTGTGAAGAGAAGCATGGAGTAGATGTTGTGAAAGGCTGGTATTTCAACTGTGTGTAGTGTTTTACTGGGTAGGTACTAACTCAAAGCCAGCAGACTTCTTATCTTTTTTTTTCTGCTGTGGACATCCAACTTGCCCAGTTTTTCAGCAGCAGGGGTGCTCACTGATACAGGAATTGGAGAATTGTTCTGCCTGTCCCACAGGGAGACATCACTGCTTGCTTTTAATGGGGATTTCTGTGACAGGTTTCCATCCCTTTCTGCCCTGACACAACTGACAGGTAAATGATAAAAAGTGTTATTCCCGGCAAATCTGATCTCTGTGGTAATTACAGCTTGAGCATTGCTCACTGAACAACTTCTGCAGGACTCTGATTTGTCCCATATTTCTGGATGTGCTGGGTGGGTGTAAAGCACTTGCTTGGAAGGAGCCTGGTCACTTTAAAGAAGTGAGAAGGTTTGGTAACTTCTCACTTCTTCTTCATTGCCTAATTGCCTTGTAAATAAATTATTGAATTTACAAATGCTTTTGTATAAACCTGACTCCTCTTTAAGGATTTTATTGTTTTTGATAATAAAGACTGTTCTCCACTGCTCTAACAAGTTTGAGTGTGTTTGCTGATCTCCTGCAGCAGCTTCTGTTCCCATCTGGCCTCACTAAGGGCTCATACTGCACAGTCCAGTGATGCCCTTGTACACACCAAGTGTCCCAAAGTCCCATGAGCACCCCAAGGGCTGAATCCAAAGGATTGGGAAGGGGAAAGAAACCACAAACCTGATCACTGAGTGCATATGCTGTGCTAGGAACACCCCAGCCACACCTGGCTTGTTTCTTCAACATCCTTTCCTTTTCTCCACATTTTTCTCTGGAAGACTTGCTGTAACCTGTGTTTTTTAACCTCATTCTGTGATGATTTTCCACATTTCTAGCTTAAGCTGTGTCTATAAGGCTTTTTGGCCTACTCCTAAAATACCTGGAGTATTATCCTTGTACTCCTTCAGGTGCTGTTCAGGTACTACTAAAGGTCTAACTAGATTATTTTCTCCTTTTTTTAAAAAATCAGGTATAAATTAAGTGTGATGGTGTTCACAGGGGTTTGAAGATGAGGGAAGAGACAAGAATGTTGACTCCATGTTTCAGAAGGCTGATTTATTATTTTATGATATATATTATATTAAAACTATACTAAAAGAATAGAAGAAAGAATTTCAGCAGGAGGTTAGCTAAGAATAGGACAGGAATGATAACAAAGGCTTGTGACTGACTGAGATAGCCTGGACAGCTCACTGTGGTTGGCCATTAATTAGAAATATCCACATGAGACCAATCCCAGATGCACCTGTTGCATTCCACAGCAGCAGATAATCATTGTTTACATTTTGTTCCTGAGGCATCTCAGCTTCTCAGGAGGAAAAGTCCTAAGGAGAGATTTTTCAGAAAGTATCATGGCACACCCATACAACTAATTGTCCAGACCCTCCTTGCATACAGTGTGTGTCATTTTTTTAGCAGTAGCTTCCCTGTGAGCCAGTGTTATTTCAGGATATCCATCTGTTATTTCTTTTTCTTCACAATCTGCACCTGGCAGTTCACCTGTGTGGCTGCAGTCCAGCTCTGCAGTGTGGGTGGTGCAGCTGCATCCAGCTCTGGGCCAGGAGCATCAGCTGCATCCCTGGATTTGGCCACTGGATGGGGAACTTTGCCCAGCAAAGTCAGCTTGGCTGTAAATGTTTGGGCTGGTTGGTTTTGGTGGGTGGAGATGTGGGTAGAAAGGCTCCAACGTGATGAAACTGGTTTGGATTATTGCTGAGCTGGGTGTCCTCACACCTTTAAACTCTTTATGATCAGTGTGTCAGTTCTGAAAGTTAGGAAGGGTCATCTTAAATATGGGAGGGGAGGGATAAAATTAAAATCAATATTGTAGCGCCTTGATTCTAATATCTCAGCACAGGCATATCAGAATGTCTTTCATAGGATTCCTTAATGGTACATCTTACTGATTGTCTGAAAAAGTTTAGGTTTTTTTAAGTACTTACATTTACTTAAATTTAAACTTATATTAATAATACTTAATACACTTAAATAAATACTTAAATACTTAAATTTAAACCAATAAATACTTAAACCCATTCTGTGTGTTCAAGTGACTTTCTGCCCTTTAGATACTGTTGGATGTGTATACCTGTCACTATAGGACATGAAATAACATGACACACATGCACTGCTGTTCTCAAGGTAAAAAAGGGAAGTTTATTTTCTGATTCTGACATTTATAGATTTCTAAAAGTGGCATGGATTGGAGGGTGACAGTGCCACTGGACAAACAAACAGTCCATCACATTTCTTCCATAAAAGAATGCAAAACAAGTTATTTACAGAAGTGTGTCAAAAAGTTTGTTACAAGAATATAAACATCAGAAGGCTTAGAAAATTGTGAAAAACCAAGGCGACTCTACCTACACCCAGACGTTCCTTAAGCAGCAGCAATGCAGATTTTTCCCTCTGCAGAGCGCAGGAATGTCGCTGCTCTCCCCCGGGGAGGAGCTCGCTGCGAGCACAATTAAAGCTGTAAATCCTGCGGGGGTTCAGCCCCGCTGCTGCAGGCGGCACTCGCTGCCCTCCTCATCCTCCCACGAGGCCGAAGGGAGTCCTGGGGCTGCGGCCAAGCTGCTGCTCCTCAGCAATTCCGTGCCCGGGGATGTGCGCTCGTTGTTCCACAAGAATCACAGGCATTGATTTCAGCCTTCTGGCCCTTCTTTAAACGGAGCACTCGTGTAATTCTGTGTATAAATGGTACAACAAGTGTTAGCTAAAGCAGCTCGGCCTCTCCAGGAAAGGGTTTTAAACTGCTTTGAACTGAGACTTTTTCTTCTATTTTCTATTCTTTCTAAGTGGTCCTGGTTTGGCTCTTTGCAGAAGTGTTTTAGGCTCCTCCACCTTGAATTGGCTGCTGTCATTTAGCACTGTACAAACAACAACAAAGAACTGCGGAATCACTGGAGCAGGAGCTAAACAGATGTGACACCACTTATTTTGTGTTTTCCACTTATTTTCTGACAATGTCACATGCTCTAAATCGGTTGGAATCCTAAACAAATTAGGGGCTCTTTTTTTTCAGGTTGTGTGTCTTTTTTTTTTTTTGTCCCTGTGGAATTAATGATGTTCTCCTTACTGTAACATCCATCAATGGAGATTTAATTTTGTTTTGTTTGAACTTGTGCAGTACTTATTACCTATTTATTCATCTTTTAGGCCAGAAGTTCTTGACCAGTTATTAACATTCCTGTGTGTTAAGATGCTTTTTGTGGGGAAGGGAATTTTTTTTCCTTCCTCGAAAAACTGAAAGCAGTTGTGAATTGAGCCAGGTGGGTGAGAGCCTGGGAGGAAAGGGGAGCAAGAAATGGAAGTATTTGTCCCTTGCAAAACTCTTGGTTGTTTAAGAAGAGATTTTAGGCTGGGTTTGCCCTGCAGCTTGCCCTGCCTGGGTGCTGTGGCCACATTCTGTGCCAGCCCCTGACCACCAGCTCAGGAGGGCTGAGTCAAGGCATTTTTTGCTGTAATTTCTGTGCTCACTCAATGGGGGCTCTGGGGTGAAGGTAATGCAGGATCCCCCTTGCCTGGGGTGCTCTGGGGTGGAGCTGCAGCTCTGGAAACCCCCGAGGTTCCTTTGTCCCCCAAACCCTCAACTCTCTGTTCACATGAGCTGCAAAGGGAGCTGAGCCTGTGCTCATCAACAGCAAAGCAGCTCATGACCCCAGCAGATGTTTTTGCATTTTAGGCTAATGAGAACTTATTGGATTACTGCAGTCTTCCCTGCCTCGGAGTAAATACCACTTTGTTGGAGATCCGGAAATTCATCCTGAATATGATAAACAAACTGCTGGCTGGGCTGGGATTGCCAGGACATGAAAAGAGTTCCAGAGGGGCAGAAGATCTAACAGCTCTGAAATGCACCACTGAGGCACACCAATTAAGAGCAGTTCCAGTGAATATGGGAGCATTCCTGTTCGACTCACAGAAATTATTTTAGGTTGTTTCTTCCGCTGCATTTGTGTGTGGTCTGTACAGCCAGCATGAGGTTTGCAGAGTGGGCTCAAATGCCTCTGATCAGTTTCTTTTTAAAATATTTCCGTGATAATGTACATGCAAAATCTGAGTTTCCTGCTAATTCAAGATCTTTAATTTCCTATGTTATGGTTACCCCTAGATATAAATTATTTTAAAATTTATATAGACAATGTATGCTTGGAGATTGTAGGATTTAAAAACTTAATCCCTTTGTTTAATATCTCTTGCAAATGGGAGGTGACTCTACTGTTCAGTCAGACTATACACAAATTTTATTTCACCAGTCATGTAGGAGCTGAGAAGAGAATTGGGAAATTATTTCTGACTAAAATCTGAATGACAGCCCCTTATGATAAGCACACCCTTCTAAATCATTCAAAATCCTCCATTTGAATGCTTTCCTAGTACTATTTCAGTCACTTTGTCAGAAATTAAAACGCTATATTACTGTGAAAGATCAGACTCTCCTGCTCTATAGATGAATAATAACCATTTTTGACAGAACTATTTAATAATTATGTTCTCAATATCATTATCGTGTTACATGCTACTTAGATTACAGTCTTAGTTGAAAAGTGCTCTTTAATTATCCTTTCTTTATAATTTTTTCTAGAGATGTTTGTATTCCTGGGGGGCAGGATCACTCTGGTTTCTGCCACTGTCTGGACTGATGTTAAATCATTTTCCTCAGTGCTGGGGAGGTGCAGGAGTGTGGCAAAGTCTGGGACATTTTGCAGTTTATCAGTTTCTGCGTTTGCTATCTCTGTTTGGCTGTCACAGAAACATGAAGGGAGAACAAAACTCAGAGTTAAAGAATAGGTGTGGCTTTTTTAGCATGAATATAATGCTGTAAAAATTAACCAAGGCCTTGTTCTTGTCTGGTGCTGTGCAATGACTGAAGTGAATGTTTTTCCACTGGGAAAGGGGGAGAAATAATTCTGGAAATTGATGACTTTTTTATTTCTCACCCACCTTCTACTGAAATCTAGTGTGGGCAAGAGTTAATACAAAACTCAATAATTAATAGCCTAGGGTTTAGTACAGTCTTTTATGCAGAATTTACATGTATTAAAA